AGAACGGGATGGTCAGGGATAGCCATCTTGCTTTTAGAAATTTTAGAATTTGTAGAGATTGGATATTTTGCTGAGAGGAGCATCAAAATCTGTTTTTAATAGGGTTGTAATTTAATATTTTGTATTGTTTTATGGTTTTATCTGGCAATATGCCCTGTAAGCCGCCCTGAGCCTCCGGGGAGGGCGGGATAGAAATGTGAAAAATAAATAAATAAATAAAATAAACAAACAAACAGCTACATGTTTATGACAATTTTTTGTTCATATTCGCCACCACTAGTGCACTACCACCGCACTAGTACCATCTATTCCCCATATATGGACATCAGGATGGGGCACGCACATCTAGTCACTGCACTATGGGTGAGAACGGGATGGTCAGGGATAGCCATCTTGCTTTTAGAAATTTTAGAATTTGTAGAGATTGGATATTTTACTGAGAAGAGCATCAAAATCTGTTTTTAATAGGGTTGTAATTTAATATTTTGTATTGTTTTATGGTTTTATCTGGCAATATGCCCTGTAAGCCGCCCTGAGCCTCCGGGGAGGGTGGGATAGAAATGTGAATAATAAATAAATAAATAAACAGCTACATGTTTATGACAATTTTTGTTCATATTTATACAAAGTTACTTTGTTCCTACTGCCTGTTTACCTAAGACCTAAACCTGATACCTACCTAGGTATCCTGGGGGAATTATCAGAGGGCCAAACTGAAGCACCATCTTGATACCACCATGGTGCTATTGGTGGTACTGATCACATAAATGGAATACAGCCTACTCTGGATGAGGTGCATTCCCGCTTAATCAGCAGGACCACATTTTTGAAAACATCATGGGGGTGCTGTTAGATCCAGATCTGCAGTTTAACAATCAGATATCATCTGGAGCACATAATGTTTTTAAACATTATTGGCTTTCTTCCTCTGGAAGTGTGATCTAGTCACCATAATCCATGCTCTTGTCATCTCCAAGAGAGACTGCAATCTACATGGCACTGCAGCTGAAGAGTTTAGGAACTTTAATTGCTCCACAGTGCAGGAGCAAGACTGGGTCAGGTGCAGACAGCAGGCAATCCATTTGCTAATGTTGTGTTATATTATTTACATGGTGTATCTGGTATCTTCGGTATTATACCTGCTGTTGGATTTGTATCATTACGTTGTTTTATTGTTTATAATCTTATTTATGGGTTGTGAAACATCTAGGGTGCATATTTGTCTTCAGAGTCAGTATATAAACTGACAGAGGAAAAGAGCTGAACAAAGGCTAGGAAAAGGGACTTCTACTCCAGATTAATAAAAGCTCATGACCCAACAAGGATCCTGCTTTCTGCATAGCATCCATAATGGCTGGGATCTGTACTTACAGCTATATTTATGGATTCTCTGTGTAGATTCTTCCCAGCAGAGGATTAGAAACCACACACAGAAGGCCACATAGATGAAGAAAGGAATTGGATGCTGTGATAGATTGCACAGAAAAACAGGCTTTTTAAAATGCTGCTTGTGTCAGAGAGTCAAGGGAGTACATTAATTTATCTTCCCAAGAGAAAAGAGCTTATGTGATTGGCTGCTCTACCTGCTCTTTGATTGGCCAACATCAGCTGAGAGAGAAAACAGCTGATCTAGAGGGAAAAGAGGTGCAATTTAGTCTTTTGACTTTTGAGACACTTTTGGTCTTCCTCTGAAAACTAATGTCTGGCTCAGTAGCCAGAGGGTTTGGCTTCTGAGGGAAGAGACATTTGGGAGTCAATGTTTTCTGACAGACAATACTCAGAAAAGTACTTCTACAAAGAGGAGAAGAGAAATCCCACTGTCTTAAATATATTAAAACTGCTCTGAGGAAGAATCTAGATTCTCAGTCAGGAAAGCTATAGAACAGCCTTATATAGACAAAGGATACTGGAGAAGGATTTGGCAGAAGGTCTAAGTAGTTAGAGTGAACTCCCATTCAAGCCAAATAGTAAAACGAATTATTGCTTCTTAGGGACAAGGAGAATAACTTTCTGCCAGTGAAAGGGGTTGGAAAGAGAACCCTGGACTGTGATAAAGGGAAGACGCTTAGACACCTCAGCAGTTAGTGAAAAGCTATAATATCAAAAGGAGAACCTAGAACTCTGAAGGAAGAAATCTAGAAACTTTAAGCAAATGCTGTCCTCCAGAAGAAACATTAATAAGAACTGTGTTAGTGTTGAAATATACTGAACAAAGTACCTCTCAAAGAACGAAAAAACCTTGAAACAAAACTACAAATATACTCTCTTGAATGTTCTAAAAATTCAATTCCATATATATTCGAAAGTTTTTATCTCAGCAATCCCAGAACGTTGAATATTCCTATTATACATATATTCGCTGCCTGTTTAATAAAATCTTTATTCTGTTTTTCAAAGTTACTTTGCCTCAAGTACCATTTCATAAGGGTTTATAAAACAGAATGGCTCCTGTCTTTCCCTCAAGTTCCTGTACTGCGTCTAAAGCCTAAACCAATGTCTAAACAAAGGGTGGGACAGTTTCAAGTTTATATAAAAGGATAAGAAGATATACACACTACTGTAAGACAACTCAGACACTGAAGAGAACTAAATTTTTGGCGGGAAAAATCTGCCAGACATTTAGAGAGATACAGGGGTTTCGTCATAGATGCATACCAGGATGCTCTGAATCCTCATCAGGATTTATGGAAAGACCCCCATCCATCCAGTATATGATTTTAATGGCATTGCTCATTCCCATCTGATGCCTAGGATCACTTCATACACATTGCTACCCTGGGTGCCTGTAACATTAATCTCTGGATATGGGCCAGTTAGTTTTATAACAGGTTTTTAAAATAAAAAATGTTTGGCTCTATGTAGTACCAACAAAGTACTTAAAATTTCACTACAACGCTGAACTGCAGGCTGTGGAAGGTCAGTAGTTCAGCAGTTCGAGACCCGAGTTGCCACATGACGAAGTGAGCTCCCATCTCTAGTTCCAGCTCCTGCCAACCTAGCAGTTCAAAAGCAAGAAATTGCAAGTAGATAAATAGGTACCACTTCAGTGGGAAGGTAACAGCGTTCCGTGCGCCTTGGTGTTTAGTCAGGCCAGCCACATGACCACGGAAATGTCTTCGGACAGCGCTGGCTCTTCGGCTTTGAAACGGAGATGAGCACCGCAACCCTAGAGTCGGACTCAACTGGCTTTCGAGCAAGGGAACCTTTACCTTTACCTATGACTGGATTGCCATACTGACCCCTAGAACTTATGGTACTTGGTCAGAAAATGACCAAATGCTATTTGGCAAAGGTAATGGCAATATAATGAAACTTCAGAGTGTTATACTCCACAGGTTCAACAGGCTGCCCTACTGAAATGTTCATTTAGCAAAGAAATCATTCTTCAGAAAGTGGGAAGATAACCAAATAAAGCAATTTCCTCTTTGGATCTCTTGGATATGTTCACACATAGTCTGCCATTGCTCAAATATATTAACATGCTCCAAAGAAACAGGTTTCCTTTCCAAGGATGAAAATAGTTGAAATCTGAGTATAGCAAAGAGAAGAATATTTTAACTCTAAAATAAATTATTTAAACATCCTAAAGTTAGAGTTAAAGGCCTATTTCTACCCATTGTTTGGCTTCTATAATTGTGCTACAAAAATCCCTAATGCACTGAATTATTTAAAAGGGCACTCCTGAAAATTCTTGGAAATGAATCATACACAGCAACAATTAACTTTGAATTGACATTTCCAGATAAATGGCTGCTTACACTTCTGCAGCACCTGTTGCCACCGGGAGATAAGAGATTTCTCAACACTCTGAATGAACAAGCAGCTATGCCTCTTTCCAGGAATCCATTTTTTATTTTTATTTTCAGTTAGAGCATCAAAACCCAATACAGAAACCACAACTTGTATGTGAATTTAAGATGACCCCCCCCCATTTTTTGATGACACACCAGGAACAAATCCAGTCTTACATTTGAATAAATACAACATGGTTAATTTTGCCACAATACCAAAATCACTTCAGCATCACACATTTTTGATTTGAAGCATCATATATTAAAAGTAACAGAGGGACTAATAATTCATGCAGGTTCCAGTAGTGAAATAAACAACATTTATTTTGGCTTGGAAATAAATTATTACTAAAGGCCTAAAGGCTTGCTGAATGCTAAAAACACTTTTACAGAATCCTACAGCTGCCTTTGGACTGGAGCACATTAGACTTGGCACATGCAGGCCACCATTGTCAGTACCCTAGCCAGTATCTACAACTTATTCGTGCCATGGATCTCTCTTCATCACTTGTATGGCTCATCTCCATTCTCTGCTGCCACAAGCAGAATGGGGAGAATAGGCTGTGCCCTGGGCTATCATTGTGCTATAGAGCAACCATTTGCAACTGCGTTGTCTTGTCCACACAAGAAAACACTGTTGCAAATGAAACCTGGAGCACAGCAATTGCGTAATATACAGAGTATTCAGCCACAGAAACTCACAAGAAATGAAGGTCATCCACACAGTGGGGCCTTACTTACCACAAGATGGCCATTTTTGGCAGCATCCATTCAGTGAATGGAACATGTGCTCTGGCTCTGAGAATTTAAGGTTGTCAAAGCTGATTCATGTTACAACATTCCTTCACAGAAAGCAATCCCTACATGCAGGGGCTGATGTAAAATTGTGTGACATTTTTAGTATGTGATGACTACACATGTATTTCTTGCTCTGTGAACATATGGCAAAAAAAGTTAAAGTTGATATAGGCCAGTACATGGTACCGTTAAAAAAAAATGGCCATGTCCCAGCCCACAGCAGGTTTTGAAATGGTTGCCCCAGCTTTGGTAGCCTGGTAAGGGGCCACTACAACCATTACGTAGCTGGGGAAAGGTTTTGACACAGATGAGGTGTAACAGTGTATATTTTATGTCAATCCAAACTTAAAACAAACTTTGGAAGACACAGTTATCCATCTACATACCTGCCTAGTAGGTTTTTATCCCACCTTTCCTCTGAGGGAGTTCGGAGTGGAGTACATGGTTCTCATTTCCCTTGTGATGTGCTTAGAACCACCCTGCAAGGTGACCCAGGGATCCGCATAGGCTGGGATGATAGCTGGAGTGGGCAGCATCTGAGTAAGAGGGCAGGGCCAGTGACATCACCAACAGAACAGTTTGAGTTACTACACTCCTGCATGTGGCAGACACATGCTGTGAAGGTGTAGCAAGTCATGGCTTCCCCATAATGAGCCAAAAGTGATGAGCAGATATAGACAAACTGAACCGAATCCTTTCACTGTAATACAATATATGAAAATAGTAAAGCTAAACAAGTACTTCAGAAGACAAAGTCATTGAAGAAATATGACACAGTGACAAATATATTTGAGAGCTCTGATTATCAAAGCGCTGATCAAAACGCTCAGAAAAATAAGACGTCACACATAATAAGCTATGGGAGCTCTTTTCATATGAATTGTGAATGTGGGATAATGGGATGATGCCCACTGTCATCACTCCTGAGCTCTGCATGTTGATCTCTTTGAAGTTTAACATACCCACACGCAAGTTCTCCATGCACAGGTCTTGGCTAGCAAGGTGATGACAATGCAGAGGTTAAAAGTGAATGCAGCATACACAATCCCAGCACACCAACACCTACACATTAACTACACATGACCATCTGAAAACTGTCATGCATATTTTGTATTCATTTTGTGCCCTTTAGTGGACCTGACCTTCTAAAACAACTGTTTAAGATAGACTAAATGTAATTAATGCGTTTCAACATACCGAGCAAGGTGAAGAACTGCCTCCACAATATTAGAACCATCTTTGGCACTTGTTTCACAGAACAATGCATTGTAAGCCTAAGAGAAAAAAGAATACCCGTGGAAGTTCTCTTTCAAATGAATGTATTAAGAGACAACAACCCAGAACAAGAAGTCTAGTTCTCTATTTACATTTTATTTTGCATGCCTCACTGTGCCTGTCATAAAAGCATCCAACACATTTCACAGAGGCAAACAAGCACCCACAAGACTGTAATTATTTTTAAACTAACCACACCTTAAGTGTCAAACCAATGCCATTTCCTACCAAAATGAATTATGCAAATCCTTTACAAAGTCCTATACAATAGTCTGTCTTCTTAACACTGTTCAGTAGGGATGGGCATAAAGCCAAAAATTCCAGTTTGCTTCAGGGCTGGGTTCCCAAACTGAACCCCAAACCGAACTGAGCAAAAAATGCCCTGAACCAGCCAGTTCAGATCCCCCTTTCTCCCAGCCATGGCAAGCCGTGGCTGGGAGAAAGGGGGGATCATCCAGGAAGAGTTCAATTGATGCCAGCCATTTAACCTGTTTGTTTCACTTCTCCCCCTTCGAAGCGGGGAGGCAGTGAAAATCATGGGTTTAATCGCACACAGCCATTTGAACCTAACAGTTGATGGGCGGACCCACCCTGCTGTTAGGTTTAAATGGTTGACAGCCATTTCACTGGTCAGTTTTGCTTCCCCTTTGCTTGGAAGCAATGGGAAGTGAAGCCCACTGATGAAGTCAGCTGTTAGGTTTAAATAGTCCGAACAGCCAAACTACACTGGACAAAAGTCCAGTAAATGTTTGGGATAGGCACCTTCCCAAACACTAGTTTGGGGGTCTGAACTGGGCCAAGTTCGTGCCGAATTTTGGCTCATGAACTGGTTTCATGCCCATCCCTACTGTTCACTCTATAGTCTTACCATGGCCAACTTTTCTCCATAATTTACTGGTACACATTTATCTCCTTGTTCATAAGCCAGTGGACGAAGGTCTGCTTTGTTTCCGACCACCATGATTGGGATATTTTCATGTGTTGCATCCTGCAAAGAGTATAGCTTTAGGTTTTTTGGGGAGGTTGGGCTGCTTATTTTAATAACAGCAATAATACGTGATATTAAAGGTATTATAATGAGAAGTAAAAATTAAAATATTAGAACTTTTGCTATCAAAACAAACTCAACGGTATATTTCAACCAGACTACCTAACAAAATTAAGGATAATCATTTAGATAGTAAAATGATAGTTACTGATTACTACTACCCTGATTACTAATACACTGAATTTGAGCTGCATTGTCTGCAGGATAAAGCAGGTTTCCCAAGCAACTGCTCCCACCATAGTGCCACTGCACAGCAGTTTTTACCCTCATTCCATAATGGAACTTAAAACCTTCCCCTATATTAATGAAATTTACTCCTGGACCAGCATTGCTAAGGTAAAGATTTTGATCAGCTGCTCACTCAATAAAACTACTTTTTCCGTTACTTACAGCAATACTGGACAATACCCTCCACCACAAGAAATATTCCTTATCCCTCAGGAATCTTTAAACCATATCCCTTCAGCTCTCAGAACCAAATTGAGGGAACACCAGAACAGCAAAACCCACTGCAATAACCTCTAATATTGCAAGCACTGGACTACAAGCACACTTGGCAAGCTTTAAAGTTCTTACCTCAATCATATCTATCCATTCTCGTACATTCAGAAAACTTTTCTCACACGTAACATCATATAGCAGCAGCACGCCATCTGCTCTTCTGAAATATGATTTTGCGATGCTCCGGAACCTTTTGAGGAAAAACGATTGAAAGTCACACTTGGAAAAAAAACCAAATTTAAGATGAAGTGACTTTATTATTGTGAAGGGTATGCAACACAAGCATCAGTAAGGTCCAGTGAACATTTTTACTTACTGAAGCCAGTGTTTAATTTAAATATACATGGACTATGTGACTACAAAAATAGGAATTTAAATGTTAGCAATGCTCATAAGTTTTTGCTCACTATGGGAAACTCAGGACCCAAGAACAATCCAATTACAAAAGGTACAAAGCCACCAGCATCCCACCCATTATCCTCATGACTACTATAAAAGCTTACCAAGGAGCTCCACATGTACAGCTTTGCCCATGGAAAACTCACCTTTCTATCTATAACTTCACACAAGTAGTGATCACCCTTCTACCAGCATTCAGCCTTCAAGTACTTAGCTAGGCTAGAGGCCCTTGCTGCCATTCAGCCAGCATTACCTTGCTGCACCAGCTGTTTTCTTGCTATCTCAGGAAGGGGGTGCTTTTTCTTTTTTTTTGAAACAAAATGAGTAGGGCACTCTCTAGGCTAGAGGCCCTTGCTGCCATTCAGCTAGCATTACCTTGCTGCGCCAGCTGTTTTCTTGCTATCTCGGGAAGGGGTTCTTTTTTCAAACAAAATGAGTAGGAAGTTTTGTGTAGGAAATCTTAAATTCTACTACTGGACCTTGCTGTGCAGTTATGAAAACTCTACACATGTCTACACAATTTGCTCTACAATTTATTACATTTTTGGCCCACCTTTCTCCAAGAAGCAGACGACTTTCTCCCCTTCTCTGTTTTATCCTCATAACAACTCTATGAGGGGTGGTGGGCTCTCCTTCTTTGGAGGTTTTCAAACAGAGGCTAGATGGCCATCTGACAGCAATGAGGATTCTGTGAACTTAGGTAGATCATAAAAGGGAGGGCAGGAAGGGTTGCCTCCGTGCTTAGTTCTTGTGCCCTTTCTTACATGCCCAGGGAAATGTTGATTGCCACTTTGGGGTCAGGAAGCAATTTTTCTCCAGGCCAGTTTGGCCAGGGATCCTGGAGGTTTTTTGTCATGTTCTGGGCATGGAACAGTGGTCACTGTGGGTGTGGAGGGGGGGGGTATTTGTGAATTTCCTGCCTGGTGCAGGGGGTTGGACTAGATGACCCTGGAGATCCCTTCCAACTCTATGGTTCTATGAAATAAAAAAAATAGAACCATACTAACCTCTCTTGTCCAGCTGTGTCCCACAGCTGTAGTACTGTAGGTTCACCATCAACAATAAGCCTCTTCATCTGAAAATCAACCCCTTAAAAGTATAACAAAGTCAGTATTTTTAAATAATATGAGTTAAAAGTTGCATTGATGTTAACACTGATCAGGGCTTTTTTTGCAGAAAAAGCCCAGCAGGAACTCATTAGCATATTAGGCCACACCCTGACAGCACAGCTCATTTGCATATTAGGCCACACACCCCAAGTTACCAGAAGTGTGGTCATCCAGCCACACCTACCTTTTGCTTCTTATTATCTTTACCTTGTTTGTTGTCAAAACCCAGGGCTTTTTGCATGTTAGGCCACACAGCCCTAATTGTAACCAATCCTAATGAGTTTCTGCTGTTGGGTGTGGCCTATTATGCTAATGAGTTCTTGCTGGGCATGGCCAACTTGGGAGCCAGCCGGAACTCCGTTCCTGTGCGTTCCTGCCCAAAAATAGCCCTGACACTGATGCTGTTACAAGTGAATAGTAAAACAGTCTCTTTCAGCAAAGTTAATTTTAAGCACCTCACCCATGCAATTAGTAAGCTACAGAAATTTGGTATCCCAGCAATGAAATGGTCCAATAACAGAATGCAAATACAATTATCTTTGCACAGAATATGGAGATACCTGGATACAAAAATATATGACTATTAGGTCAGCTGTGAAGGAAACAGAAATGTATACATTATGGCTTATCACAATACAGACAGGCCTCAAGGTGAAGCACAACAATTTCACCTTGGACATATGGAGCCACAAAGGGCAGCCATGGGTAAGTCACTACTCACCATACAGAGGTACACAAACTTCAACACTTAACAGCTATTTTGGAGAAGGGTGTGAGGGTTATCTACCCCAGGCTGCTGAGGCCTAAAGAAGGAACAGTAGCCAGAGATGCAAGAAGTCCCTGAGGGGTGGTGAGGGGACACAAGCATTTGCTGTTCTGTATTTCTCTGGGCACCACAAACCATGAGAAAGCACCAGTCTGTTGCCGTCACTGTGCTGCAGAACCAAGAGGGAAGATGACCCACCCACCACAGAGACAATGCTCAACTTTTACGTAGAAGTTCTCCAGTTAATTTAGGGGAAGGGGGAAGGAACAGGAGAAATATTTGCCCTATGGCTGCCATGACCAGCAAATTATTCACAGCAGAATGTTCCTTTGTAGGGTAATTGGGGGGGGGTATTACTAGTTTCTTTTAACATTATAAGTTGCCTTGGAGGATATATGTGATGGAAATGATAGATAGATATATTTTAAGTATATGCCACCTCAGAGGTATGGCAAGGACAAACTGAGCTGACAAGAAAGGTGCCATGCATTTTGTACATGTCTGTTCTTAATAACTGATATAATGCATGTACATTTTGGACTTCAGAATCCATTCCATACCCAAGTACAAACTGTCTCACAAAAAACAGCTCTAAGCTACTGGAAAGAATGGTTGATGACCTAGAAAAGTATAACATACATACCTAGAGTTGCACTGGTGTTCCCTCGAAATTCATTTTTGCAAAGTCTCAAAAGGAAACTAGATTTCCCAACTGCTGCATCCCCAGCAAGAACTATCTTGTAAGCCTTCTCTGAGCTTGGGTACCTCGAGCTGCAATCTATGGAGTCCTGCTAAATTTAACAAACACACACCATATAACACTATGAAAACATGCAAATTCTTCCAGCATACACTGCTAAATCATGTTTCTGTTCCTCACGGCTATGAAAATTTGAAATACTGGAAGAAAACCCCTAATCATGATGGGATCCAAACTGGTTGTAATCAGCGAGAAGTTCTTGGGGTCATGGTGGAGAGCGGAATGAAACATGAACTCAGTGCATGAAGGGAGTGAAAAAGAAAACTCCATGTTAGGGAATATTAGGAAAAATATTTAAAGTAAAAGGGGCACTATCATAATCCCTTTACATAAACCAGTGATCCAATGGTATTTAGAATACTGTGTGCTGATCTGGCTGCCCCCATCTCAGTAAGACATACGTCCTGGATAGTTGCAGAAAAAGATCAGCTAAAATAATATGGGGAGCTCTTCCTTTTCAAAGAAAGCCTAAAGCTCTGTGGTAGAAACAGACTGCAGGACCAGGTGGACCCTTGACTTGATCTAGAAGGTCTCTTCCTATATTCTAAAATATTGTCATAGCAATACATTTTAGAAAATGAAAAACGATGAGGCCAACTAAAATAGGGACAAATTCATTGGGTTTTCTATTAATTTCAAAACTCAATCCGTGATTACTTTCCCCCCATAGTCTCACTCATTTTTTTACATTCCCTGAAATCTGCTGTCACGGCTCAGGTGGGTTGTCACCTGACGCTGCCACCACTCTGGTTCCAGGCTCCTCTGAGAAGGCCTAGAGCACCCTCCCAGGCCTTTAGACCTCCCTTTTGGCCGAATAATAGGCATGAAGACCAGGCAGAGTGAACAATGAAAATAGTTTATTTTATAGGTCAAACTAACAAGGTGCAGAATAATAACAGTAAGTGGGTGAAAGAAATCAAATGCCCTAACACATCTAAATATATACTGTCCCTAGCTCACTATCTCAAGTGGCCTTAGACTACTCACCCTTCCCTCAGGATGAGGGTTTTTTCCCCACAGCAGCCTCAGTCCCTTCTGGCTCTGTTCCCTGGGAAGAAGAACAGCTTTCCCTCTTGTACTAGTTCCTATATTCCCCAGCCCTCTTCTTCCCTATTGGTCAAAATCGGCGCCAAAACTTCCCAAGGCCTTCTGGGGTTTGTAGGCCCAGTCTCCCCTACTGCTAGCCAGGCTCCTTGGGCCTAATAGGCCTCTGGTGGCACAGCCCAGATCATGACATATGCTTATTCTGAAAGTATAACAGTATAACCATTAGAACTGGGCATCCACCACATTCTGTAAAAATTATGCAAAATGCAATTAAGGTATTACATTAGCGGCACCTTTCAGATGATTGCAGTGGCTTAAAATACAGCATGTAGTTTGGAAGGGTCTCACAGCTACTTCCATGTGCCCAATACAGTTTTGCATTTGTGTTTCTCAAACAACAGTCTCTCATACTGCATGCCAACCTTCTTTTGAAAGGGAAATATTTCAAAAGCGGCTCACACGATGGCCTGGGAACCTGCCATTCTAAACCAAAAAGGTCAGATTCCTCAAGACAATGGAAGTCTCCAAAGAAGCTCTTTGCATCTCAGCCTCTGCATTTATGACCACTTTGCATGAATTACCTGTGGAGAGATGGCGGAGATGTACTTCCTTGTGGAAGCTCCAGAACTGCTTCGACTAATAGGCTGGCATGGTTTCCAATCTAACACCGTACTGACTTCATCAGGACTATACACTTCTTCATCTCTGATATCAGGGACCTACACAAACAAGCAAATGTTATTACTTTCAATAACTCGGTTAGTATGTGGTGGCTTTAGGGGAGAGGGGAGAGCCAACCAAAACAGTGAGAAAACAGCACAAAATGAAAAGCAACAAGGGGGATTTACAGATAAATTATTGACAAAAAGGGGTCCAGGCTTAGGCCAAAGATGTATGCGCTTGGAAACCCTCTCCCAGAAATCACACCACACAAATACGATAATCACCTAAAGGAGAAAAAGTGGACAGTCTTCAAAGACCTACACCATGTGTGGTGGCAATGTTGACTCTAGAACCCCCACCTGTGATGCCAAGCTCATTTAGCTTTATACACCAGATGAAACTTTTCTCAGGTCTTTAATTAAAGGGGTGTGATCTGATTCTGATTCTCCCCCACCCTTGCTACCCTGATGACTAGAAATGTTCCTGTGTTGGGTTTTGGTGATTTTACTTCTATAGCTTTTTAAAAGGTTATTTTAGGGCTGCTGGTTTATTGTTTCGTTGCTAATTCTTGATAACTTGTGAGCACTGCAGGATATACACATTTTAATAAAATAAATTTTATCTAAATTTTATTCGCTACAGGTTGAAATAATTTTTTTTCAAAAATGATGAAATTCAGTCATAGAAATATATCTGTACAAGTCACTAAAACATTCAGTTCACTTACACATGCTGAACCTTTTCCTGTATGTGTGTGTTTTACACCTTAACTCAAAAGCCAGATTCAAACACTTGGCTGACTCTGACCTATATGAAGAGAATATTTTCACTCTATGGGCAGCAAGAACTCCCCCCCCCGCCCCGAACACAAAATAGATTATTTTTAAAAATGCAGTAAGCGCTTACGTCTGTATCAGAAGCATCTCCCGCAAAGCTTTCCTGTGGACACTGTGACCTTTGAGAAATCCTTTGATGTTTGGATTCCAGTTCTGAATCATATTCATTGGAGTCTCTCAAGGTAGATAGACCACTGTCAAAGCAGCTTTCAGGCAAGCTGTCTACCTCGCAGTTTATCCTCTGCATAGGATCACAAAGTGCCAGAGAATCACAGTCTTCATCCACATAGGAAGAATGAGATGACCTGATTGGAACAAAAGGAGAGAGAGCAATTTACAGTATTGGTTGCCAAAGTTAATAATCTAGAGGCAACCATCTCTGCGTACCTGAAAGATGCACAAAACATGTTCTCTGCCACTTTTACGTCCTTTCCTGAATAACCCTCCTGGCTGGCTTCCCCTGCTGCCCCCACCCCCACCCAAGAAAACCTTCAACATAGTAACGCCAAAGGCCAGGCCATTACTCATGGATTTCTGTCCTTGAACTCTTAAAGATTATGCTGTTGTTAGAAACATCTTTTCCTGTCCACAATTCTAATTTGGGGAAGTACAAGAAAGAGAAGTCCCCATTGTGCATATCAACAACAGAGGTTCTTGCTTTTAATTCTCTTGTTTCCTTAGGCACTCAAAAGCTGTGTGTGTGCTATCCCAGAAACAATTCCTAACAGTTTGGCCACCTTTTATAATTTTAAAAGGTTATAATAAGATGAGTTCAATAACATAAATTTGAAGCCGTCGAAGTGCATATAGGTCTGTGGTTCCTAATTTATTATGATAAACAGGTCATATAAACTCAATAGCTAATGAACACAGTTAACTATCTTCTAAGTGTACACTATTTCCAAGTTCCAATAAGTATCTTTCTGCAGAAACCATAAAGGGAGCATAACAGTTGTTGAAAAATTAATGTTTAATGTATCAGCCAGTTCTCAAAAGGCTTTCATATCCTACATCTATCATGTAATGAAGCATGCACATTTTACCAGAGGTACAGAGGTGTTTCAAGAGCCCCACTCTGAGATTTGCAGAAAACTCAAACTGCTCAAAGCATTTGTTGTATCTGAAATTAAGGAAGCTTCCCTGTGACACCTCACTGAACTGAGCTATGCCAAATGCAGGCCTGCGAAGTTATTCATCTAAAGTAGGGCTTCAGTTAAAGAACAGTTATTCTTAACAGCCAGTCGGCAGAAGACTGCCTCTTGCTGCCAGCTGACCATATACGCCACTAGGGAGCAGCATGGGGTAAACAACCAACCAAGGCATTGGTATCCTTCAGTAGCACTAATCTCTTAATAGAAGATTCATTACATGAATACATGTTCTTTACATGCATCCGCAAGGCACATGTGGCAACTGCCACGCTTCCACAGCAATCCAATCCTAAACAACCACTTGGAAGTAAAATTTCATTATTTTAGTTGAACCTGTTCACATGTTGTGGGTGCAGTTTAGGGTTCCGGCCTACAATGTTACTCTTTATTTTCAAATCTTACCATCTAAGTGACAAAAAGTTCAGACCTACCTGTCATATTGTGTATTTTGGGGAGACTGGCCACCGATGCATTTAGGACTGTTTCTGGAGACTGTGTTTGCTGGAGACGAGTTGGTTAGACGCTGAAAAATACATGTAAGAACTAAGCTTTTCAGTATAATAGTACAATACACCTTTTATTTTATTTTAACAGGCAGTATTGTGAAGTACATTTTCCTGCATGGAGCCACTTTCTGTAGCCCGTGTTACTCTCAGCAATGCTGATGTATTGCAGACCATTATTCTGTCACAAAAAACAAGCAATAGGGGATGGGCTGTGGCTCAGTGGAAGAACCTCTGCAAGGCCCCAGTTTCAACCCCCAGCATTCCAGTTAAAAAGGACCAGCTGAATTGAAAGACCTCTGCCCTGGAGACACTGGAGAGCCACTGTCAGTCTGAGGAGACAGTACCGATCTCAACGCACTAATGTCTCGTTTTGGTACACGGTAGCTTCATATTCGTCCATACGTACATAACCACATGCAGGAAGATATGGGAGGAGTATTGAATTATTTTTGTGGTTAAAAATACAGTTGTGTTGACCCTTTATGTTATTTCTTGTTCCTAAAGATCAGAGACATCTGTAACTCGTAAATTTAGGTTTTTCCCAGGTCCCTTTGTAAATAATGACACAAATACTATCTAGGAATCTATGGAAACCACATACATGTGCTTCAACCTGCCTCCACAAAGGAAACAGGGACCATTTCAAGCCACTCATTCCTCACAACTTGCTTACTGGAGTTTGTCTGAGGGGAAGGGGAAGCCCCACTCTCCCCAGGACACATCCCTGGACACACTGTGAAGTCATTACATGATGGCACCATTGCACATACTGAAGGTGAACCAGGATGGCAAATTGAAACAGAGTACAGAGATGCTGAGCAAAGTTTTCCAACTTACTATATAGCAAAATGTTGTAGTTTATTCAACTAAAATTTATTAAATCAAACATTTCTACTACTCCTATCCTGAAGACTACATACAGTTCATGATGCCCAGATATATAAACAGAAAAACATATAGGTGCTTGAGTTACATGTCAGAATGAAAATCTGCTCTCAGTAACCTTGTCATAAAACTAGACTGACTATATTATTTCAGTGACCCTTGATGATGTCTTACATTGGCTTATAGCCATGAGCAAATATTTATATAACACACAGTTAATTATACAACATTAATAACTACCAGCGATCTGTTATATATGCTCCAGCTGTTCTCTAATGCACTTCGTAAACCATCGTTACTGTCATGAAGTTTCCTGTTCGCTGTCCTAAAAACAAACCAGGAAAATAACATTCATGTGGAAAACAGGTCAAGAACAGCATTTCCAGTTTTTAAAAGTGAGCATGAGGACATCTAGCAAAATTAAGGAACTGCAAGGCATTCTTTCACTCTTAAGAAAACTCACAATGGTCAATAAGAGATACGGAACAGCCAGGAATAAGAAGGAAACCGTTAATTCAGCATTTCATCCCATTTACTATCCCACCTTTTGTATTTGGGGCAGGAATCACAACAGACCAAAACAGGGCATAAAATAAGTACAGTCTTTTCATAACATATGCCATGTAATACTCCATGTGTTCTCCTGGAGCTGACTGTTCTGGTGGGGAGATTCACTCTCCCCCAGTTCTTTTTACATTTTAAGGTTTTGCTATGAGGACAATGGGATCAGTACGTTTACTATTGCATTTCTTTCTTACTTTACAAGAGGTGCCCAGCTTTTACATATTAAAGTTCATATATAAAAAAGTAATTGAAAGTAGCTTACTGCAGTATTTCTATCTGCCTTTCCAAGCTATCTCTGTCTTCAGTGTATTCTCTGATCATTTCCAGGTCTCTAAAGCCCAAAATTAATACAGTTATCCACATCATATACATTACATATACATATACAATACATTACATATATCCACATCACTAAACAACTATTTTCTATCAGTATCATTATTAAAGAATCATACCTCTCTGAATTCAAACTCTGATCAGCAAGGTCACTTTTCAAAGTATCTAATTCACTCTGAAGGAAAGCAATATTTGTTTGTGCTTCCATGAGATCTTTTTTAAGTTTATGATTTTCCTAAAAATAAAAGCAAGACACTTTAAATTATTCATCAGACCACTTTAAAAAGAAGCACTGTTGATTCAAATATTTTTAAAAGGAACTAAACATGAAAAAGCTGCTACCTATGAAATGGTAATATAAAAAGGCATACTCTGTGATGGTGCTCATAAGAATTGGATCTACACATCAAGACTGTTTAAATGTATTTCTAGTGTGGAAATAAGAGAAAATTCTCCCTACCATGAGCAATCATAAAAATATATTCATGAATTCAATTCAGCCTGTTATTTTCACTGCTAAAATGTGGTAGTAAAACCTAAACATGTAAATATATATGATATGTTAGGGGAAGAATGATTTTAATAGTTGTATAATGTAATTTATCTTTATGTTTTAATTTGTTAGCCGCCTTGGTGGCCCTTGTAAGGGCAGAAAGGTGGGATATAGATGTTGTCAATAACAACAACAACGAGTAGCAGTTTAGAGAGAGATGTTATATGAGTGTATATGTGGTATGTATACACACAAACACTCATGCAAACATATAAAGTGCTAATAATCTTCCCCAAACCTTGACAGACTTCAAGAAAATGCAACTATTCAGCCAAACATTTAAAAATGGTAGGTGGAAAACAGATTAGATATGCTGAAAAAGGCCAGGCTGAAATATGGCAGTAACTTTTTCCACCTACCATAGTCCAGCTTAGCTATACATGTAACATTTCTTCTCTCCAGGCACAGAGAGATTTCTCTTTGGCATTCTATCATGCCCATCATCATTTTTTTCCTCTCCCCACTTCTTTTTTGTTTCACTTAAACAAGAAGAGTACTGGTAACTTAAACGCTTGCTATCTTGCATTGTTTAGTTGGTCCTCACAAATGAATTATCATACTGTTACCACCTACAATTACTGTCCACTATGAGGAGGAAAGTCATACGGTCGTACCAATGTCAAATCACGTATCCTGTTCCTTAGTAGTGCCAAATCTCCTTTGTGATTGATGTTTTTAGATTGTTCTTCAAGCTGAAACAGTAAAGAAAATGTCTTGTTGCAACAATGTAATTTTAACTGACCTATTAAAATCCACAGAATTTAGTAGAAAGAGACCAAGCCTTTCATCTTCAGTACATCCTATGCATCATTTCCCCTCATATTGGCCTCTCCTGTCCCAGTTTCCCTGTAGAGGCATGCTATTCCTAAAGAGGCATGCTATTCCTAAAGGTCCAGTGACCTAGGAACAGGATTTTGGCAAGCATGGCCAAAGTTCTTTGAGCCAGTTTTGAATGTAAGGCATCAAAATGTAATAGGCTAGAAGTTCTTCGAACCAGCTTTGAATGTAAGGCATCAAAATGTATTAGGCTACCAAAAGATAAGAGTAATTCATTTCCTTGTTCAGACCAACTTTAGTCACTTGCAGCTAAACTGAAAGAAGCAATAGTTTCCCAGTTCTCAAACAGTAAGCTACAGTTGAATGGCTGGTTTTCTGGCTGTGTCATGTATTTAAACAATACAAAACAGTACTTAGAATTATAAAACTAGACTCTCAAAGATTTTTTCTTCTTCTTCTTCTAAATTTAGCTGTTGCAATTGTAACTTTTGAGGAAAATGAATAATGAAACGAAACTTTGCCTCAAAGATAAATGTAGTGCACTTGTCAATGGATAGGTCATTGGTCCCATAGGGATCATAAATGGGGAGAGCTGCCTTCAGTCCATCTAAAGAACTTGATTCTTGTGGCTAGCATTGTCAAGTCCAGTTTGAGAAATTCCTGGAGGGTTGGGGGTGGAGCCTGGGAAGGACAGGGTTTGTGGAGGACAGGGAGCTCAGTAAGGATGTGATGCCATACTGGCTACCCTCTGAGGACACCATATCCTACAGGGAAACTGATTTCTGTTGTCTGGACTGGAGATCTTTCGTAATTCCAGATTTCCTGTAGCCAGACAACCCTACTTGTGGCCCAAACAATTTTTAATTATTTAGTAAAATATTTATATCCTGCCTTTCCTCATGGTTCAAGGGAGCTTACAGCAAGATGAAGCCCAAGCTTCATACACTGAAGCCTGATACCTCAGAAATAGTTACTATATCAGACCATATGCATTATTCATGATCTGATCCAAAAATCAGCGCTACCTACCATTTTAAGTTTCTTTATTGTCACTTGGAGGTCATCGACTTCAGCTTCATACTGCTGCTTGAGATCACCGAGAGCCTCTTCTGCCTTGCGTTTCTCCTACAATAATTCACATTTTTGTTCAATAGCGAGTGGCAACCTTAAACAAGCTCCCTTAAACAAGCTTCCTTACACTGTATGTATTGCGAGCATATTTTCCCCAACTGAAGCATAATAAAACCCATTTTGAGCTAACTCTGAAGTGTATGTTATACAGGAATACATTTATAGCAACTGTATAGGGTTGCTACAGTATGTTACACTATTGGCAAGCCAGAAAGCAACCAAAAGCAAGGAAATCCACAGTACTGACTAGAATGCGAAGTACAATCTCTGCATCATAGGTCAGCACAGTATCAGTAATAACTGAGTGCATAGTAACCATTAAAATTTATAGTACAGTACTATCCCACAAAGTAAATATCACAGTGACCTTGCATTTACATTTGGGGTGTTATACTTTTGAAAATATGTGGAGCTATGAATGTAGAGCTACAGAGCAAGATAAGCTACTAAATTTCAGAGAACGATAAGAGAAATATTCCACCCATATATTAATACCTAGATAGTGAACTGAAGAATACTTAGCAGATACCTATCGTTTGAAACATTTAATTGGTATTTTTCATGATGACCAGAAGGGCTTGGACCATTTCAAAGAGAACAGCCATCCCACTACGCCACCCTTCCCCCATTCACAGCAGAAAAATATTTTAAAGGCCAGGGAACATTCCAAAGCAGGTTGTGATAAAAAATGTGAGTCTGCCATTCCCCCCCAAACATGAGAAGTGTCACAGGGCATACACTAGCCACAAGACCAGGTCTGCACAACTTGCAGTACTACACCCGCCACTGCCCATCAATCTATTATCAGCCCAGCCAAATGATTTGATAAGCTCTCATGTTTTTGCAGGCAGGCCTATGGAGACCCTCCAGGGCTACATGACTTAAGAGTTGTTTTCACTGGCTGGGCCACAGCAGCCTTGGGCCTTCCTGTTGTAGTTCTCTAGATCATGGCCAGATATTTTTATACTTTAGATCCAGTCAATGGCTGAGTAAGATGAGGAGGCTAAAGCTCTATAATATTACACACTACACAGCATTAAAAAAAAACCAGTCACTGTAATACAGTTTAGAGGAAACTGGTTTTGCTAAGTGTGCAAACACACCTTCTGATGTAATCAGGTTAATAGTTTGTGAAATATGGAAATACAACAGCTTAATTTCCCCATATTCTTGTCATTATTATAAAATTACAACTGCATGGTCTTGAGGAAGTCGACAGATTGCTCTCAATGGTACGCCCAACCATGTGTTGCCTTGATCTGTGCCCTTCATGGCTTATAAAAGCTAGTCATAAGGGGCTACGAGGTGCCCTCAGGGACATTATCAACAAGTCCTTCATTGAGGGGGTTTTCGCAGGGGCACTCAAGGAAGCGATAGTCTGCCCTCTCCTGAAAAAAACATCACTGGATCCGGCCAAATTGGCCAACCATCGGCCGGTTTCCAATTTGCCCTATTTGGGCATACTGGAGAGAGCGGCGGCAGTTCAATTGCAGAGCTTTATGGATGACACTTCCATGCTGGACCAGTTTCAGTCCAGCTTCTGGCCAGGTCATGGGATGGAGACGGCACTGGTTGCTCTCACAGATGACCTCTGAAGGCATCTGGATCAAGGTGGTATGGCAGTGCTGGTGCTGTTGGATCTGTCGGCAGCATTTGACACCATTGACCACCAGTTACTGATTCACCGCCTCGCCGACACTGGAATCCAAGGGCTTGCCCTGCAATGGCTTGCCTCTTTTCTCCAGGTTTGGTGACAGAGGATGGCGCTAGAGGAGCAGACGTCCCAGAGGCGGTGCTATCCCCGATGTTGTTTAACATCTATATGCACCCCCTCGCCCAGATTGCCCGGAGGCATGGGCTGGGGTGTCACCAGTACGCTGATGACACCCAGCTATATCTGTTGTTGGGCGGGCAGTCCGGCTCCAACCCAGATGATCTGGAGCTGGTGCTTCAGGATGTAGTGGGCTGGCTTAGACTGAGCCGACTGAAACTGAATCTAATGAAGACAGAGGTCCTGTGCTTGAGTCGGAGCAGGTCGGGGGTAAGGATCCCATTGCTGGCTTTCGGTGGGGCACCACTGGTGCCAGTACCGAGGGTCAGGAGCTTGGGAGTGCTCCTGGATGCCAAGGCAGCCTTTTACCACCTACAGCTGATCAGGCAGTTGGTTCCCTTCCTCAAACGCAATGACCTTGCAACAGTGATCCACGCAATGGTCACCTCAAGATTAAACTACTGCAACGCGCTCTACATGGGGCTGCCCTTGTCCCGGATCCGGAGGCTGCAGCTAGTGCAGAATGCTGTGGACAGGCTGTTGTTGGGCCTCTCTATACGGGACCACATCCAGCCTGTGCTGAGGACACTGCACTGGTTGCCTATAGCGTACCGGATTTGGTTCAAGGTGCTGGTGCTAACCTTTAAAGCCCTACACGGTCAGGGGCTTGCCTACTTGAGGGACCGCCTCTCCCCATATGTGCCCCAGAAAGCACTGCAGTCAGGGTCGCAACATTGCCTGACCCTCCCTGGTCTGAAAGAAGCCAGGCTGAATGTCACCAGAACCAGGGCTTTCTCAGTGGCAACCCCAACCTGGTGGAATGAGCTCCTGGAGAACATCAGGGCCCTGCGGGACCTTTTACAGTTCCGCAGGGCCTGTAAACTGGAACTCTTCCACCAGATTTTCAATTAGGGGTTGCCACTGATGAGTGTGCCCTGGAACATCATCTGGTCTGAAATTTTAGAACACCCTCGGGCCTGAGATTCCGCTGGATGCTACCCCTATCGTTGGATGGGATTTGGATTACCGCCATTTCTGTTGGGTTAATGGCAACTGGCGTTGTTTTAACTGGTATGGTATTTATTTTGTTTTAACTTGGTTGTTTATGCCATTTTAATGTTGTTAGCCACCTTGAGTCAGATATCTGGAAAGGCGGGATATAAATATAAACAATAAATAAAATAAATAAATAAATACAATGCTCCTTGGCTTGCGAGAGAGGGCCATGTTATAAGTTGCCACTTACAGCTACCTCATACAGTATGCAGTCTTCACATGGTAACTCAACATGCAAATGATATTTAGTAGACCTGAATCAAAAGAGACTTATTTCTGCAAAATGAGAGCAGTTCAGGGATAGCTACAGGCATCCTTTTTCAAGAGGTCCTATGCCAGTGCAAATTTTCCTAGGCAGTTTGATGGCCAAACTATTCCTAGTTTCTGTTTTGGAATAGGTTCTCAAGTAATATTTAGATCATGTTAAAAATAAATAAATCCCTAAGTGCTAGACATTATAGCAGAAGAATCTCATAGGTTCCCATTGCTTCCAGTGCAACCACTGGAACAAGCAGACAGTTGAGATGAATGGAACCTAAACATTCCTAACTTTCTCCAGATTAAACCCAAACAAAAATTTGCAGAGCAACACTAACTCTTTTACATATTGGTTGTTTTGACAAAACAGCAGAGAATAAAATCTGCCACAACAGCACACTTGTAGCTTAGTGTCTGAGCCCAACCATTATAACCTGCAACTACTCCCACACAAAAGCGTGTGGCAGCTAAATGAATTTCAAAGATTTCATTCCTTTTAAATAACCTCTGGGACCACAACACATACAATTATTAGACAATGTTAAAGTTCTTCGGCTTGCTTTCTCAAATGCTCCTGGATTGTGTTTTTTGGTTAATAAATATCATCTGTAAGATACACGATTGCAACAATGAGTATTTTTCCCCACAGAGACAACCTGACCTACTTAGTAACTGTATGGTCCACAGCTAGCTAGATGGGGGGACCCCCTAAAATATGATAGTTCAGTAGGCTTGCCAACCAAGTGCTAGTGGTAGAGTCTGGTGGGTAGGTACACCATAATCAGCATCATACCAACACGGCAATGTCACTTCTGTGCGAACATGGAAGCAACGTTATCACCTTGGGGCAATGCTCTAGGATTAACTTGAACTCTTGAACTCCCTTTTGTTCCTTAAGCTCCACAGAGCAGCAAAACAGGTGCTAAGTAGGAAGTCCTCCTCCAAAGCAGAAGACCTGGCACCTGTATAGTTCAGAGGTCTTTGAAGCAAAGCCTTCACTTCAGACTGAAGGGGGAGTTCACAGAATGTAAAGCTTCTCCCAGCAAAAGATATTTCTGCCCATCTTCCCAATCTCTTGTCCTTTATTGAGTGGAATTTTTTGCATGGAGAAACATTCAGTCATGTGAGCCCAACACAAAGTTCACAACAGTTTAGCCTGCAGATAGTCTGACCACCGCAGTGAGAGGTAGCTTTGATGAACAGCTGGTTTCCATCATTTCTACAGTGGCTCATTACAATCTACAAAGTAACACACTTTTCGGCCACACATAAAATTAGTAGCCTGATGGTAAATTGTTTTAGACAAATTATTTACAGTATTTATAAGCCTGCCTTTCTTATAAAACAAACATTAAAACCTCTCTAAAATCATCTTATGCCACTCACCCATGGTTAGTCCCCCTCTGCCCAGACTCAGTGCGCCCCAAAAACTCTATGGAACAGCCTCTGTTTTGCAGCTTTGCTGCAAAGCCAAGAGCATAGGAATTCCCTTTGACCTCTTTCAGGAGGCTGTTCAAGAGACATGGGGTGGCCACTGAAAAGGCTTGAGCCCAGACTATTGCTGAATATGCTCTGGACTGTCTTTCCTCTCCTCACCCTCTGCTATCACCTTCCCCTGTATCACTCCCTGTCTGAGAGGTTCTTTGTCCTTCATATGCTCGAATTAATGGCAAAATGGAGAGGAAAATAATACAAAGAAATGTTTCTCACATGACACTTGGGGTGTGCAAGTCAGAGCCCTGTAACTAAAAGAGAAAACAATCTTAAATATTCAGAGCTACAGGTATCAATCATTCACCTCTTTCTTGATTTTATGCTCTGCAGCTTGTATTCGCTGGTCCATCTCCTCTTCCAGTTCACTCAGCTGCATTGCCGCTTTATCCTGTGCTCTAGAATGTAAACAGTATTAAACATGTTCACACAAAACACTTAAGTTCACATAAAACTTAAACTTGTTCCACCACGAACCCAGACAGGTGAATAGAGATATTTCAAGTTGGAATATAAAGAGGTGAATAAAATCAGTACTTAAAGCTCCAACTTAATGTCACCCCAATCTCAATATTCAGGCTACTACATTAAAATGATAACATTCTTGGAATGGAAAAGTCCACTGAGTACTTAAGACATGATAAAAACATTGGGCACACATAGATACCGCACACTAAGGTTGCTGCACAAATTGCCAAGTATGCTAACTAAACGATGGGCTGGATCCCATCACTCACCTCCTCATTACACTGGAGGAAACAGCTCTACACTTAAACTGAGCAGAATGATAGGACTTGAATGTATATGTGGATTGGCTTTTTTGCACAAAGTTTTGTGCATGTAATTAGTAGTTGCTCTGTAGCCTCAGGGCATGGAGCTGGCCTGCTCTATAGTGACTTAGCTCAGAAGTCTGCATGTGTAATTCTAAGCACAGCCTGAGTGTATGGATCAAAAAATCCGTACAGGTACAGAAGGGGGAGGTGTTTCTACAAATCTAAGAGAAACTCAGGTTTGCAGGGGGGAAGTCTTTTTAAAAAAACCAAAAAAGTTTTAAAATGGGAAAAACTCATGAGGTTTTAGCAGCCATTTTAGGTTGCCTAGCCAATGATCTTCAGTTGCCCAGGTAATCCAAAATGGATAGTATGGAGGTGAGTTAGAGGAGGATGGGAAGGCAGGAAAGACAAGAAGGTAAATGGGAGGGAGGAAAAACCAGAGGGGACAGAGGAAAGGAAAATGAAGCAAGGGTAGTGGAGGCAGGAAAAAATGAAGCAAGCAAGGAAAATGGAAATGCTGCAAGGGCTATGAGACAGGGAAAAGACTGAGACAGTGTGGTAAAGAGGATGAATGGGAGGATGAGATTTCTTACATACGCATACCTGTTCTTATGTATTTTATGTTTTATGTCTAAAGTTGAAAATGGTGGTGCATGGAGATCTTCCAGAATTACAACTGTTAACTTAGTACAGATATCCATTCCCCTGGAGAAAATGGCTGCTCTGTACTCTATGGCATTATACTCCACTAATGTCCCTCCCCTCCCCTCCCCAAATACTGCCTTCCCCAGGCTCTCCAACACACACAAATCTCCACAAATTTCCCAACCCATAGTTGGCAAATCTAATGGGATGCTATCTGTTTCATGTTTCCTGTCGCATGTAATTCTAGAAGAACCAGGCAATCCAGCACTAAAACTGATGTATAGCCAGGGGTCTTTTGGGGTCGGAGCAAGCCAGAGCACCACTCCGGCAGCCCAGGAGCTGGCACAAATGGCATTGGCAGCAAGCCCCGCCCCCAGCTCCCCACACTGCGGCCCATCACCGGCCGCCCAGGGTCCGCTCTGGAGCGCTGCAGCCCCGGGGAAGCCTAAGCAGGCCTGTCATTGGCTTCCCAGGGCCCGCGCTGGAGCGCTGCAGCCCCAGGGAGGCATGAGGTGGCCCGTTGTCGACCTCCTGGGGCCCACACTTGAGCTCTGCAGCCCCGGGGAGGCATGAGGAGGCCCGTCGTCAGCCTCCAGGGGCCTGCGCTGGAGCGCTGTGGCCTCGGGTAGGCATGAGGAGGCCCATCGTCACTCCTGGGGCCCACGCTGGAGTGCTGCGACCCTGGGGACACATGAGGAGGCCCGTCGCCGGCCTCCTGGGGCCCACGCTGGAGCACTTCAGCCCCAGGGAGGCATGCTTCTTCTTTCCTTCTCTATTTTTATCCCTTCTTTCCTTTTTTTCTTTCCCTCTTTCCTTCCTTCTTTTCTTCTCTCTACTCCCTCTCTCTTTCCTTCCCTCTTTCCTCCTTTTGCAGCTCAACTCGAGTGAGAAGGGGTTTAAACTTTAAACCCCTTCTCTCTTCACGTCCCCCCCCCCGCCAGCTGGGGAAGGGAAGGGAAGGGGAGACTTCTGAAGATGCCTCCCCCCTTTTGGTTCCCCTTCTGACATCACTTTCGGTGATGTCAGGGGGCATGGCATATGCTAATGAGGTATTATGCTAATAGCCTAGTAGCTCACTAGCATACCTTATGCTAATGAGCTCCTGCAGTTCTTTTTCTACTAAAAGACCCCTGTGTATAGCCAACATTCTTTTTTCTGAAGCAACACAAGAGACCTTTAATAAAAATATTAAACATGATCTATTAATCATTTGGGCCTCAATATTTTCTCAAAAAGCATCATTTCAATACTATTTTAATAATTATGAGCCATCTTTAATAAAAGTCTTCAAAAGTTACTGGTTTGGTTTCAGTCAGGGATTTTTAAGTTACAATTTCGAGTTGCAAACCAGAGGCCTCTGAGATGAAGTAAAAAAAGTCATGACATGCTGTCATGGTAGAATAAGTAAAAGGACGCCAAAGAACAGTAGTTAAAGATGAGCACATCATGCAAATATGTTTTCTTAGTAGCAATTAGCCTTTGAATTATAACCCTTTCCATTAGTTCAGATGGAGTAGATTCAAATGTTGTACAGTGTGATATCTAGTACCCACAATTCCCAAAGTCAGGAAGGAATGGAAATGACACATTAACACATTTTGTCATGAGCAACGACAAGGAACTGCATCCTACATACAAAAATAGTAATTAACAATGAAGTATAAAACTATTTGCTACCTTTTTACAGCTATGGCTAAGTTTTCCATCTCCGCACTCTGAAGCTTGATCTCACGAATGAAGTTCTTAATTACATGTTCATAAGGCTGAATTAATCGTGGTTCCACTATACTGATGTTCTGATACAGAACACTGACCTGCTCTTGCCTAGGGGGAAAAAAAAGTAGTTGTTACAGATTTAATCATCAGGTTACAGTGAGAGATGACAACTATAATGAGTGGGGGGAAACACTTATTCAGTTTGTACATGGTTTATCTCCCCACACACACACACTAAAACCCTCCAAAACCAATTTTAAATTAACTGAAGGCAGTACCAAAAAACAAAAATGAAATGAATTGCATCTGAAGATATCTAGAGATTGTGAAGTCTATCATCCATAGAAAAATCAACACTGGGCTGGATCAGACGAAGCATTTTCATGGATGCAGGGATTTCTACCTATGAAGTACAATTGTCCTGTCTGCCCCCTCCCTATGACAGTCTAAAATGCCCCTGCTAAATCCCGTTCCCAGAGTCCTCTCTCCCTCGAGAACAGGATATCGGGGACATTTTGGGAGAGGGGATGGGAAACGTGCTCCATGAGGAGAAATGTTTATGCCTTGGAAACATCTAGTCTGGATCCAAGCCATTATATTTATGCACTACATGCACTGTCTAGGGCTTTTAAATGTTTTTTAAAAAACTTTATTCATTCTTAAGAGTTTGATTCATGTAATCAATTCCATTTTTTTCCTACAACCCCAAGCCTCACCCTCCATTTCTCAAACAACTTTGCTGCTGAGTAAGGTATGCACCCGTGCACTCTGTTTCATGTTTGCTGAAGCAGTGAAATATGTATCAGCACTCACATAAGCCATCAGGCAAATTCATTCTGTCTACGGAGGATCTGAAGTCCTTCATTTACCCACTCAACTCTGACTGGCTTGTTTTCATGCCTCTCTTAACCGGTAGTATTTCAATCCTTTCTCTCACTTTCTATAAAAATCCCTATCTGCCCATTCTGGTTGTTTATCCTATGGAAATACTTAAATAGGCATTTAATGTGTTTTTAGAGAGCTCCCACATTTTCCAACTAGCTTCTAAGATAATGTTACATAGTCACAGGGGTGAACTCCTTGTTTTTAAGACATCATAAAGCTGTTTTGTTTGGGGGTTGTTGTTTTTTAAAGGATTCAACAAAGACTCATCTATAAACTCGGGTAAATTTCAATGCCTGGAACCAAGCAATTAAGAATTTTGTATTTTTATACCTTGATGTCTTTTCTCTTTTAACAATTGTATTTTAATACATCAATTTCAATATCTCTTATAAAAAATATTGACTATTTTTAAGCTATACTACTGTACCTTATAGGATATTTCATACACTGGGTATCTTGCCCTGCTTGGGCAAATTCTCTGGATTAAATCCAGACATTATTGAGGTTGTTTCTGTCGTTAATCAAATGTCTCTGAAGACCTTTAACATACAGAATGGTGGCAGCTCTAACAAGATATTGGACCCTTGACTAGGTCAAGGAGAGGGATTGGGTGTGCAAGGCTAGAAATAACTGTACGTTACAGATTTAATCATCAGGTTACAGTGAGAGATGACAACTATAATGAGTGGGGGGAAACACTTATTCAGTTTGTACATGGTTTATCTCCCCACACACATACACTAAAAACCCTCCAAAACCAATTTTAAATTAACTGAAGGCAGTACCAAAAAACAAAAATGAAATGAATTGCATCTGAAGATATCTAGAGATTGTGAAGTCTATCATCCATAGAAAAATCAACACTGGGCTGGACCAGACAAAGCATTTTCATGGATGCAGGGATTTCTACCTATGAAGCACAATTGTCCTGCCTGCCCCCTCCCATTAAAGTCTAAAATGCCCCCGCTAAATCCCGTTCCCACAATCCTCTCTCCCTCGAGAACAGAATTTTGGGGACATTTTGGGAGAGGGGATGGGAAACGTGCTCCATGAGGAGAAATGTTTATGCCTTGGAAACATCTAGTCTGGATCCAAGCCATTATATTTATGCACTACATGCACTGTCTAGGGCTTTTAAACATTTTTTAAAAACTTTATTCATTCTTAAGAGTTTGATTCATGTAATCAATTCCATTTTTTTCCTACAACCCCAAGCCTCACCCTCCATTTCTGAAACAACTTTGCTGCTGAATAAGGTATGCACCCATGCACTCTGTTTCATGTTTGCTGAAGCAGTGAAATATGTATCAGCACTCACATAAGCCATCAGGCAAATTCATTCTGTCTAGGAAGGATCTGAAGTCCTTCATTCACCCACTCACCTCTGACTGGCTTGTTTTCATGTCTCTCTTAACCGGTAGTATTTCAATCCTTTCTCTCACTTTCTATAAAAATCCCTATCTGCCCATTCTGGTTGTTTATCCTATGGAAATACTTAAATAGGCATTTAATGTGTTTTTAGAGAGCTCCCACATTTTCCAACTAGCTTCTAAGATAATGTTACATAGTCACAGGGGTGAACTCCTTGTTTTTAAGACATCATAAAGCTGTTTTGTTTTTGTTTTGGGGCTGTTGTTTTTTAAAGGATTCAACAAAGACTCATCTATAAACTCGGGTAAATTATGTGCACTATTACAATGCCTGGAACCAAGCAATTAAGAATTTTGTATTTTTATACCTTGATGTCTTTTCTCTTTTAAGAATTATATTTTAATACATCAATTTCAATATCTTTTATAAGAAATATTGACTATTTTTAAGCTATACTACTGTACCTTATAGGATATTTCATACACTGGGAATCTTGCCCTGCTTGGGCAAGTTCTCTGGATTAAATCCAGACATTATTGAGGTTGTTTCTGTCGTTAATCAAATGTCTCTGAAGACCTTTAACATACAGAATGGTGGCAGCTCTAACGAGATACTGGACCCTTGACTAGGTCAAGGAGAGGGATTGGGTGTGCAAGGCTAGAAATAACTGTACATTGCCCTTGCATTGCCCTTACCTTCACAACAACATAAGTAGCTTCATTCATACTATGGAAGGCAAGTGTGTTCCAATGTCTGGACCATGCTCTATCATGCACAGGAAAACACTGGAGATGCTAAACAATAAATGGGTCATATAACAGATATCAAATATTCTTACAAATAATTTTCACTACACAGGGTAGGTAGATGTCATTACCGTGCTCCCCCTCAATAATAATATGAATAGGTGTTACTTGGTGAAAGATTACAGTTGTAAAACTAAATGCCAGAAACAGTGGAGTAGATCCTACCTCTATGGAATCTGAAAATCTGGAATCTGAAGCCTTCCTCCAGCCTGAGGAGGGATCCCCCAATTTAATTGGTTCTGAGCGACTCAAGGTGGAGGAAGGATCCTTGGAGGAGGGTGGGATCTACAGCAGTGGTTTTCCTAATCTGCAAATTCACTGCAGTGCTTACTGAAGTAGGGACTTTCAGCTCAGAAGTGAATGTAGATGAATGGTATTCCTGAATTCAGGAAATATTGGCTTCACTCTTCCTCTTCCATCCACGGTCTCATGCATTAAGCCAAATTGTCTTTATGGGGGAGGGGGATCCAGGTTTGTGTTTTTTTCTTTAAAAGGTTAATCATAAGAATGGTCCCTGGCAAGCATAAAAGGGGTGGATACACTTGGAGGTTGGTTGCAATGCACCTTGTATAAATATCATAATTTGCTTCATACTCTTGGACTGGCTAATCAGGAAGCACATCTCTGTCCCCTTCTTCTCCCCCTTTGTAAAGTTATCCTCTGGAGTCTGGAAGAGAGCTTTGTACTGTACTCTGACAGTACTACCTTTTGTTCTGCTCTCAAGTACGTCACAGCTGCTGTTTTCAGAGGGTTTTGAACTTCAAAGATTAAACAAACAAGAAACCTGAAAGAAGGAAGGTGGAAAGCTATACCTTTTTACCCTTGCTTTTCAGTCTTGCCTGGTATGTTGGGCTTCAGAGAGCCACTTTCTGTCATAAGCATATGGTGATAATTGTGACAGATTGCTCATGTTATTTCATCCCTGAACCACCATATAGTCTCGTTGTTCCTCACAGGCCCAATTGTACATGTTGAGTACTGAATTCAACAAACTTTGGTGGCAGTACAAGTCAGGTGTGAATGGGTAAGAAACGAAACCTGAGGCAAACAGTAGTGCCTGCAACTCCTAGAGGAGCACCAGTAGACACAGGAAAGGGATGGATTCCTTTTCAACCAAAGATGACTGCATCTGAATACTTGCACAAGAAGTCTGTAGGAGATTTAAATTAAAAACACAAGTCAGCAACCCACAGGAGCCATGAACCTTTTAAAACAACAGCTTATTCAAAAGTGACTAGAAGAGTTGCTGTTCACAAACAGAATATATTTGCACCAATTTGCACAAGAGTGACGGCAGTGGCATTCAGTGACCCAAGTGAATGCACTGAACTTTCATAAATGCACAGAATTTCAGAAAGCAACACCTAGAGACTAAGCTTCTTCTTCCAGGAATGCTCACTTAGTAACTGATCATGAGGGCCCCTTAGAGAATACAGGGTGAGGAGCAGCACTGGTCCCTTCCTTGTGTCTGACCATAAATGTATCTAATTCTCAACATATACAAGCCTGTGAATATTTAAATCTGGAGATAGGAGATGTGAATAGACAAAACAGATTTTTCCACAAACCTGAAAAAGCGCTCGGTTTTCAGGAAAATCTAAAATCTTACCAAAAAAAGATCGGTGGGGTTAAAGCCCATGATCTAATAGAAACTTCTGAAAATGAAGGCCTTTTCAGTGGCCTTTGTGTAGGTTGCTAGGCAGCCACAACAGTATCTCTAGCCTTCAAGTCTTGGTTTCTGTCACTAAAGGTGGGCAGGGCACGGCCCTTTCAGGGCTGTTTTGGCCTTTATAGAATAACTCATTGGGGCCAGGCCTAGCAGCAAACACCAGGCAACTTGATAGCAAATGACTTGCATGTCTCACTCAGGCCTATCTACTTGTTACTGTTTAACAGCCGCTGCCACACAAAAGCCAGTGTGGTGTAGAGGTCAGAATTTCAGAATAGGATCTGGAAGTTGTTGTTGTTCAGTCACACAGTCGAGTCCAACTCTTCGTGACCCCATGGAACACATCACGCCAGGCCCTCCTCTCTTCCGTCATGCTC